AATTACTTTTTATTATATATATTTTGCAATATATATATATTACACATTGTCATTACTTTTTTTAAAACAAAAATTTGATAGAATCTCCCCTTAAAAGTCTAATTACTTTATTTAATGCTCACAAGAGCTTAGCGAAGGCTTTTATTGTGAAAAATTGGAAGTTTTATGGATGAAATGGAAAATTAAGGTTTCGGTGAGAAGGGGGAAGAGTAAATCTGGAAACGGAGGAACCGAGCCCTCGGTTTCAGACATATTGCCAAAGGATCCGAGCACGGATCGGTTCTTGAAGCCCTCGGATCCCACAAGCCTCGGATCCGTCTCACAAGGAACACAGACGATCCCTCGGATCCGGCCGGGTTTACTTGGATCCGAGCTCGTATCTTATGGATCCGGGGTCGGATTTGTCTGGATTGATTTCGATCCGACCTCGGATCTTACTTCCTCTGCACTAACTGCAGAAAGTGCCATTTGCCAAACTTTTTCTCCCTTTTCCAAACTAATTGTCAGACTAACCATGGCAAGCTAATGCGACTCAAACCGAAAGAACAACAACGATTCATAAATTGCCAAAACATAACAGCCAGCTCAATTCAGCAAAACAAAAATCATGTTGTAACAACAAACAAACTGACAAACAAAAAAAAGAGATAAATTCATACCTCTTATGGCAAATTGGGAGGGAGGGGGGAGATGCACGGATTCCAGACAGCTTGGCAGGAATGGGACAGGTTGGTTTCAGCGGTTTTTTGAATTGGGTTTCAGACTGAGCTTTGTTGCCTTTTTTCTTTGTTGGTTTTTTTCTTTTCCGCAGAACAATAATGCGAGGTACATGACCTCGCATTTCTGAAATGCGAGGTACATACAACTCGCATTTGTGAAATGCGAGGTCATGTACCTCGCATTTCTGAAATGCGAGGTTACCTATTTTTTTTTTATTTTTTTTTTTACTTTCGCTGTTACAAAATTTAAGGACAGTTCGCATTTATCAAATGCGAGCTCAAGGAGCTCGCATTTGATAAATGCGAACACCCCAAAAAACAGAAACCAGTACACAAAATACCCCCTTTGTAGAATTTTTTTAAAAATCATAATAATTTTAGAAATTTCTCATTCTAGTTCCCAAAAAAGAGAGAGAAAGAGAGAGAGAGTCTCCCTCCCTTCTCATTTTTTTTTTTTCAATTCAAATTTTTTCTATGAGGGGAGAAGGCCTCAACTTTAACCTTAGATCAAATCCTCTCCAGCCTCTCTCCCTCCATTATCACTCGTACTACTACTAATAGATATGTTTCCATTATTTTTTCCTTTGTCCAAATTTGTAGATATATCGTATTAACAATTAAAGAAAGAGAAGCTTCTTGAGATAGACATGTTTTGATTTAGAGTTCAAGTTTCCAAAATTTGGATTAGTTTTCTAAAAGATTTTTTTACTATATAAATTAGGAATTGTTTAATTACTTAAAATTTTATATGTTTTAAAAAAGTCAAGGAAATCTTCATCTAGCAGTTAAGGTTCAGATTCTAGAATTTGTAGGTTATTTTAAGTTCAATTTCCCCTTCTTCCTCCCCGTTTTTTTAAAATCTCCAAAATCTCAACCCTACCACGTTGGAAATTTTAAAAAAATAGTTGCCTTTTGGATTTTTGCTTTTCTTTTTCAAGTGTCTTTAGACATAGAGATAAATTTTTAGGTATTTGCATTTGGAGTTTTTTACCATTGTGCATTCATTCTCATGCATTGCTTATTAAAGTGAAATAATTTTATTCATTAAAAAAATTTAACACAATTTATCTTTATTCTTACAAAAAAAAAAATTAACACTTAAAGGGCTCCCTTAATGAGTACCCTTATTAGCCAAATCCCAACAAAAAAAGTAAGTAATTACATTTAGAAGGCTAATTGATACATGGAATTAAAATTAAGTACAAAACGTCAAATTTTGGCAAGACAATCTTTGCTGCAAATTGTTAGCATCTACGCTCTAAATTGCTCCATGCCATTTCTGTATTAAGACGCTTTAGTAAGACTCTCATTTTTTAGTACGCCATCCATTGTTCCGTTAATCGGAGGATTGCTGCCATGGGGCATGTGCTGGACTCTGGTAGGGGCCCAAAGCGAAAGGTAAATCAGGAATTCCATTTAATCCTTGTCATTTCGTTTTTCTGAGTCCGATGCAGAATCTAAACTATACAAGAGAAGGAATTGACAGGAAGTCCAAGAAGAAGGCTTTAGAGGTTATAATTAACCATGGGCTTACTGCCGATCCATTAGTTGCCAGTGTAAAAGTAACCCAGTCCATTTCTAATCAGCCCGAATACATGTTAACCCTTGCTAGCCCATGATCGTGGGAGAACGCATTCAGATGAGAAATCAGCTAGGGAGCAGAAAGTAGAGGAACCGCAAATTTTTTATACGTTGAACAGAATTGGGTTCGGCCTCTGGGATTGTTTACTAGCGGAAATTTGGGGTTTTGTTATAGCAAGGTTTACAAATGGTTTGGGATTTTGGCAGTCGTAGATGAAGTTGGATATCTTGCCGTTTAATTTGGATTGGGCCTCCATTTAACCGCAAAAAAAGAGAGAGAGGAAGAAACCACAATTTTTTAAAAATTCCACACCGGGTAATCCCTTGCGATCTTGATTAATTTGCTAAAGAAACTGTACAATCTCAGTCTTTCACAACCACAAATGCTTAGCCCCGAAAGAGTAAAAAGAAATGACATCCTAATTTTATAGTATACTTGCTTTTCGCAGAAACGGACAACAATGAAGATTAGTAAAAGTGGATGAGAAGATTAATATAGTAGTTTCAATCATTAGCGGATGAATATTATCAAAATTGAATCACATGTCTCGGTCTTGGGGGTCCAGAAGATGACCAAAAACAACAAAATAAAAAAATCTGAAAAATTTCAATACGGGAAAAGTGAACTAAAATAAAATGGATTAATATTTATACACTGACAACATAAACACTTTCACCATTACATGCATGACACACAACTCAAATTTGAATTTGAAATTCAAAATTTGCATTAAGTGTCATACATCAAATCATGATAGTGTATACTATATACATTGTCAATGTATATAAGATAAGATTTATTGAAATAGATTGCTTTAGCACTTGCCAAGGAGGATTAGTCATTAGAAGCCTACAAAGAAACTTTAAATCACATTTGGAATTTTAATTTTGTCTAAACGCTCAGGCTATTAACTCCTACTTGTGAATTATCGGTCGGGGTTATATTTTGAAACTATGTTACATACTAACATATGATTCTCCTTTTCCTTTTTGTGGATAATTAATTAGCTAATTATGATTGTTTTCATGCCTCCTCCAACCATACCAAAAAGTTCAATAATTAGGAATAGTACATAGAGTGTTTGTGGAGAGGGGTTGGTTTAGTAGGCTGAAGGAGCAAATTAAGTTGGACATCCCTTTGAAAAAATAACAAAAACTTGCAAAGAAGATGAGGGTTTTGAGACAACAGTAGCAGCAGATGACGGTGAAGAGTGATTTGCCATTTTAAATCTTTAAAAATTGGTCAAGTGATGTGTACGTGATTAATTTCAACAAAAATTCGAACGAAAAAGTAATAACGAAAAGTGATATTTTTTATTTGTTAGAAATTAAAATTGCTCATTTTCATTATGAGAGACTGAATTTTTTCATCAATGATACTGAGAGACGATTCCCTCACGATAATCAAGAGGCGGTGGAAGAGTTTAAAATTTTTTATAGTAGAGCAGAAAATTTATCTTTTTTGGGTCCCAACAAAGCAGAACGTTTCTTCATGGGTTTCAGGCACACAAAATGTACGTTTAGGAATCCTTTATTCTATCAATCATTCCAAAAATGCTTTATTCCTTTCTCTCCTACTAGCTTAACTTCACAAAAACACACACACACAGTTCCCGATTCCTTCAAACAGACAGACAGTCCGCTCTCTCTTTTCAGGCCCCTCTCTCCTTCCCTCGGAATTGATGTTAGTTTCTCCTTTCTCCTTTTTCACCTTTTTCTCTTTTCGCGAAAGTTTTGATTGAGATATCTGTTGGCTAATTTTTTTTTTGAAGGCATATTTGTTGGACATTTGATTACACTTGCATTATTACTCAAATTACTACCATATAATATAATAGTAGGTGTTGTATGTGAACGAATTAAAGTATCTGCTATTGACTCTTCTTCTATTCAGATTTGCATGATACTAAAAATCTAGCAAAGACTTTTTGTTTGTTTTCGATCGTTTTACTAAACATGTTACCGTGGAAGTTTCTTGAGGCAGCTGCTGCTGTCCACATTTACAAAATGTTATTCATTAATTCTAGAATTGACATCGTTATTTCGAAAATTCTTGTTACTCATCAGGGAATATCTCTAACTAGTGTTGCAAAGCTTATTATGCCAAAAAACTGTTTCGAAATTAAGAATTTCTAGACAGTACTTCTCTTCCCTTCTTCAAATTCTGTTCAATCAAACATGTATGTTTGTTTGGATTGCTTCATATTTCCCCAATTTTATTTGCTTACATCATCTTTACAATTTCCAATACATCTTTTTATCTTCCCAATATCTTTTTATCTCACATACATCACATCACAAAAAGTGCTACAGTAAAAATATCCCAAATAATTTCAAATAATTTACAATCCAAACAGACATTATCATATTTTTGCTTGCTTTTTTCCCACTTTCAACTTTGCATTCTTTTAAAATTCAAATGGAAACTTATATCATACACTTTTCTTTTCGATTAGTGTCCACAATTGTTGTTAAAACTTTCTACAAAAGATAGCCAGTCCAACTTCTTATTATCTACTCACCTTTATCCCTGTGAAAGAAAGTTAGAGAAACAACTTTAAGTCTTTAACCAAAAATAAAGAAAAAAAGAAAGAAAGAAAGAAAGAGAGACAGTTTAGCTTTGTCTCACATGCATTCCACTTTCGCGTACAAAACCAACAACTACAAGAAAGGCACAAACCCCACTTCACATCCTCTATTAAGCCCTTCAGCACTGCTAAATGTCCAAGCCACAAAACCTCAGCAAAATCCTCCATACGGACAAGTGACCAACTTCACTTCCTGACCTAATGAATCCAAACAAGCCGAACATTCTTCCTGTTATCCATCTTTAAACCTACGAAACCCTAGAGTTCTTGAAAATTGTTCAAAGAAAAGCAACTCTCAAACACAATCGAGATGAGAACTGGAGGTTACCCTCTCCAACAATCTCTAACAGCTGAAGCTACAAACATAGTGAAACAAGCAGTTAGCCTTGCTAGAAGGAGAGGCCATGCTCAAGTAACTCCTCTTCATGTAGCAAATGCCATGCTTGCTTCTTCCGCCAGCCTATTCCGCCGCGCCTGCCTCCAATCCCACACTCATCCCCTCCAATGCAAAGCCCTTGAGGTTTGTTTCAATGTAGCTCTCAATCGTCTCCCCACATCTACATCAAGCCCTTTATTAGCCCCTCACTCACACCTCCCTTCCCTCTCCAACGCCTTGGTTGCTGCGTTCAAGCGTGCACAAGCCCATCAACGACGCGGCTCCATAGAAAACCAGCAGCAGCCCATTTTAGCCCTCAAGGTAGAGATAGAACAGCTAGTAATCTCCATCCTAGATGACCCTAGTGTTAGTAGAGTCATGAGAGAAGCCGGTTTTTCGAGTACTCAAGTGAAAACCAAGGTAGAACAAGCAGTGTCCTTGGAGAATCGTACATCCCATAATAATAGTCCTGCGGTCAGTGCTCGTGAGTCTAAAGAAAGTATCAAACCATTACTTCTTAGAAATTGCATATCTTCTCCAACGTTGTCTTCGAGTCAATTTAGGTTGTCACTCAGCAGAGCTGCTGAACATGTACGGGATGATGATGTGATGAGTATTGTTAGCTCAATGATGAATAAAAGGACCAAAAACACTGTTATCGTAGGGGAGTGTCCAGCTACAGGTGAAAGTGTAATTAAAGGAGTGATAGATAAATTCGACAAGGGAAATGTTCCTGGGGAAATGAGGTCCGTGCAATTTATCAGTGTCCCTCTTTTTACTTTGAGGAATATTTCTAGGGAAGAATTTGAGGAGAAACTTGGGGAGCTTAGATCATTAGTAAGAAGTTATTTGAGTAGAGGGGTGGTTTTGTACTTGGGTGATCTTAAGTGGGTTTCCGAGTTTTGGTCTACATATGGAGAACAAAAGGCTAGCTTTTACTCGCCAGTGGAGCACATGATAATGGAGCTTAGTAGATTGTTGTGTGGGATGGGGGATAGTGGAAAGTTGTGGATTATGGGGATTGCAACTTTTCAGACTTACATGAAATGTAAGGCTGGCCGTCCTTCTTTGGAGACTCTTTGGGATCTTCATCCTCTTACAATTCCCGTTGGAAGTTTGGCTCTCAGCCTTAACCTTGAGAGGTAAATGACCAAATGCCATATTCTTAACGTTAGTTCTTTTTCCTTGTTAATATAAGCAGCATTTATTCATCATAATGACTAACATAGCCGGATATTACGTCCTTCTTTTCATCATTAGAGGAATGTTGTACTTTATTTAGCACTATTTTCAGCAAAGCAAAAGCAGCTCTCTTTCTTGAGTAGTATTTTATTGCTAGCTAGTTAATTTTTGGTAGATGTGGTATAGTCTTTGAATCACTTTTTTTTCCCAGCGATTTGAACAATCATTTCAGAAGCAAGGCAGCGGGAGAGGGGTCCAGTTGGTTACTGAGTAAAGCAGGAGCTGAGAAGCACCTGACGTGCTGTGCAGATTGTGTGGCCAATTTCAAAAGAGAAGTTAGAAGCATAGCAAGAGGTCCTCTTGAAAGTGACACCATGAATGCCACTTACACTACTAGCTCAAGCTTGCCTTCATGGCTCCAACAATACAAGGAAGAGAAAAGAAGAGAAACAAACAATGATCAGGTTTCATTTCTTGATCAAAATGTCATTTGTAAATTCGTTTATAACCTACAATTATTAGGTTCTCCAACTGACATTTTCTTTTTGTTTCTTTTGTTCAACAGGAATTTGACAAGATTAGAGATCTGTGCATGAAATGGAACTCAATCTGCAAATCGGTTCACAAAAAGAGCCCTCACTTTCTCGAGAAAGCCTCAAACTTTTCTTCAGCATCTCCTTGTTCATCTGCTTCAATATCCTCAAATGACAAACCAAGCTCTAAATCGCATCATCAAAGTCTCCTCACCTGGCCATTGATTTTTGAACCTGACGGTCCAAATCAATCGCCTAAAGAACGCAAATTCTTTGTATCAGAAAGTGAGGAGGAAGCACTTGAACCAAAAATTTTGGCAATGTACAAGCCAGACATCAAACCTGACCTTTTATCTAATCCAAATTCTAGTCCTAATTCAGCTTCCTCCAGTGAAGCAAGTGGGGATATGGATTGCTTACTGCCTAAGTTCAAGGAGCATAACCCTGAGAATCTTGAGATTCTTCGCAATGCATTGGAGAAGAAAGTTCCATGGCAGAGAGAAAATATACCAGAGATTGCTCGTACAATCCTGGAGTGCAGGTCAGGAAAGAGCAACAACAAAGGCAAGAAAAGAAATAAAACGGATAGAGAAGAAACATGGTTGTTTTTCTTAGGTGTTGATTGTGAAGGGAAAGAGAAAATTGCTAGAGAGCTTGCAAGAATTGTTTTTGGTTCTCAAGATAACTTCATTAATATAGGTCTTAGCTCGTTCTCATCGACAAGAGCTGATTCGACCGAAGAAGTTAGCAACAAAAGATCAAGGGACGAACATGGGCGGAGTTATCTCGAGAGATTTGCAGATGCAGTTCATGAAAATCCTAGTCGTGTGTTTTTCATGGAAGATGTGGATCAAGTTGATTATCATTCCCAAAAGGGTGTCAAGAAAGCTATTGAAAGCGGAACTCTTACACTTCCTGATGGAGAAATGATTCTTTTTAAGGATGCCATTGTCATTTTCAGCTGTAATAGCTTCAGCTCAGTCTCAAGAGCTTCTTCTCCTCACATGGGTTCAGAAAGAAACAGTAATTGTGAACAGAAAGAAGAACAAATTGGAGATAACTCGGAGGAAAAGAGACCTTGTGCCTCTTTAGATTTGAATATTGCTACCGAAGACCATGCAAATGAGCACCCGTTTGCTGACATTGGGATTTTGGATTTGGTGGACAAGCAAGTTATGTTCAAAGTTCAAGTGGTGTGAAAAGAATTAAGGAGCTAGCTGACTCATCTTGAAAAATTCTACGTTAGGCTTTTCCTGAAGTTTTCTCCCCTCTCTTTTCTTTTTAAATTTTTCATTTACTTTCAATATTGGGGTGAGGGTCAAAGATTGTTAGCCATAAATCAAAAGTTTTACATTTGTGCTTAAGCTTGGGTTTGGACGTGTAGAAGTCAATGTATATTAGTAACTTCTATTCCATCTTTTAACTTGTTTAGTGCTACTATATAAGATTGGCTTGTTCTACTCGGTCAAGTTCTTTTTGTTTAGGCAACTTAGTCAAGTTCTTACTTTTTCATGCTTTTCCAATTTGTCGGTGTTGTTACCATCTTTATTTATATAGGTATAATTTTTTTTCTTTTTATCTTGACTATCGATAGATTCTCTGATTGAATTGATACTTGTGAATCCCATCAAAGTTTTTAAAAATACAATCTAGTTGAAGATGAATATTACGATTTCTAGTATTTATCATGTGCGAGTGTCAGCATTTATCAAATGATGTCCACTATCAAAAGTAAAATGAGAAAAATATCACACATAAAGCCAGCCAATGTATCTAGTTTTTCATCAAAAAAAATGTTCACCAACACACATCTAAGGTGGTTTATGTACCTATATATATGCACCGATTGGTGGATGCATGTTACGGAACAAGGTTGCATCTATTTGGCAAGAAATTGGGGAATGAATAATTAGGAAGACATAAGTTCCTTAAATGGTAATTGGATTGATTATATTTCTACATGTTTTGGGTGATTCTGAGAAGCCAGAAATATTTAGCGGCATCGAAGATATGCGATTACATCAATTAAGATAGTACGAAGAAGTACCATGGAATAAGAATAACAGACATTATTAAAACATGAATTATTATCCATATATTGAGTATGTATGTACTTAGAGTCGTTAAAGATACACTGCCCACGTATCTATAATATCTGTTTCAGAGAAAGATTTTGCTTAGTGGATTTATCATTTACTCCTATAATATGCTTAATTAAATCAAAAGTATTGTCTTACACTAAGTTGTGCAGTCTACATATAAGCATTTATTCTATTGGCAATGTAATATATATTTCTTGTTTTTTAGCAGTAGTTCATCTGTACGCTGAATATTGTAAAGTAATGATCTCAAAGAAGTCATGATTCAGCTTAATGTGCATAAGGCCAATGTATACAAAATTAAGAATATCATACGTACATTTGAGAAACACAAGTGATCATTCATCGACAATATTCACAATGCTGTACGTTTTCTTAATATGGCCGATGTTGCATGTTTGCATGAGTGCACCTGCTAGTTCACGTATATGCTGAAGAGGGATGCGATAACCATATCAGGGCATGAATGCTCAATGAATATATGTGTATATATATGTGTGTGTGTGGTTGGGGGGAGGGGGGAGTTTTTGAAGTCTGGTGCATTTTCTGCAGTGGATGGGTACTGGGGAGCGGTGCTGAGCTTTGTCACAAGGGAACTTGGTCCTCAACTTGAATATACTTACAACGGTTAACAGGTTATATAATTTGCTATCGTTATCGTTTTCTTTCTGTTGCCTTTGCATTTTTGTTCACGTACTCCAGATGCATCTGAAACAGTTGATATTCAAATTTGTCAAACCGCAAACGTGAAATTTTTGGCGAGGAAAAGCCTTTCTTCTCAAGAAGATGGCAGTAGGCCTACACGATTGCCCAACCTGTTCATATTGCTTACACAAAAAGATATTAGACGTCAAGTGCCAATCGAAACGCAACTAGCTCCAACTCAAGGGGACTGTTGGGCACGGTTGTTGAGATGATAAGGCTGAGCATGCATATACTGTTGGATAAGGACTTCCTTCTTTTTTTTTTTTTTTTGGCCTGTTCACATCCCTCTTGAAGGGGCTCCTGCAATGGAGGAGTGGTTTTAAGTTTACGTATTAACCTCTTGGTTTACATAGGCGTTTTTTGTCACAATTTTAACGTTCTCGGGACCATTACAAAACTAGTTTTGTACCCGTTCGTTGAACGGGAATCGTCGAAAAATAATAAACTTTAGTCAATTTATAAAAATGTCGATATAAAATATAAATTTAATGTATAATCTATTATAACTTGTCTTAAGTATATTACTATGTGCGCATTGTAATGTAAAGTATTCTTATAATATAAATTTGAACATCTAATTCAGTGAATAATAATTCAAAAATAGAAAAAATAATATTCAACAATACCATAACATTCAAAAACTTGAAAATAAATAAAAAGTGCAGTAAATAGTATCAAATAATATTCTACTATTCAGAAACTTGTTTTTATTGTTTTTCTGTTTGAACATTCTCCTCGATTTGTCCGTGCAAATCAGCATTTATTGATTTTCTATTATCACTGCATGATAGCAAAGTAGGATAACTAAGTATAAAAAAATAAATGATTTATCGCATTCAAGTTTGTGTATAACAATACGTAAAGATTATAATTAAGTAAACGGCCAGAGTCTTTTAATTAACTAATGAATTTGCAGATATATCTAATAGAGATATTTATGTCTCTTATATTTATATCGCATTACTTTCCAGTGCCTTTTGTTTTTGGTTGTTTTTCCTGAAGGCAAATTAACAAACATCGTAGTATATGATCACAAAAATCAATTAACAAACATGTTAGAAAAAATCCTATAAAAATAACGATGAAAGTACTTGTTTAAATCCTATGTCTTCATACAAAACAAATAGAAAATAAAACAAAAAAAAAACAAAATTCAAGATATGTTACTAAACTCTTACAATTGAAGATCAACATGCCTTTTTAAAAAATATATAAAGAAGATGTACCTGATAATCAAGAGGAGTGGAAACCCAAAATCGATACTTTAATATGCCAACCGCTTGCACTGGAAATACCTAACCATGAATTTGATGCTTGAAATCAATATATTAGAGGCTATATGTAGTGTAGACATAGGAAATAAGAATTGATAAGAATACAAAGAGATATTGATAAGAACATTAAAAGTATGTTTATCTTAATTTAAGTTGCTTAAAGTACGTAATTTTGGGTAGGAAATAAGAATCCTATAATATTAAGAATTCTTGTAGGAAATAAAACCATAATCGTCCAAATAACTTTGGGTAGGAAATAAGACCTTATGTGACCCGTACTATGCACGTATATAAACCTGTACGTAATAAATTTACAAATGCGTTATCAAAATCGATTTTACCGACCTTAAAAGACCACCTCCACTATATCGAGTCTAGAGGTGTCAAATAAAACCATTTAATTAATTTTACCCATACCCGCCCATTAATAACTGGATCTGGGTACATTAAATTTTTATATATGGATATAAATGGGTTACCCAATTATACCCATTTATTAAATGGGTTTAATTGGGTAACCCATCTAAGCCATTTAACCCATTTAACTTACATTCCTGCTCTAGAAAAATAAAAACCAAGTGAAATCCTCGCTCTAGAAGAATCGGTCGTGACTCGTGAGTCGGCAGCGTAAGCAAGAAACGAGGGAAATTTTTGAAAAGAAGGAAGCAGAGAGCTAATAAGAGAGAGGAGAACTTGAGACTTTGAAATCATGATCAGCTGGTGAAACAAATGCGACGAAATTTTAGTTGCGCAATTCTCTTACGAAGCTCCGTATATTTACCGGTTTTGAGTTTCAGTTTCTTCTCTATTTGGTAAGATACTTCTAAACCTCCTTCTTTTAAGTTGTTTTTTTGAGAGAAAATTTTCAGTTTTTTTAAGTCGCTTGTTATTCGTATTTATTGAAAATTTGTCTTTATTTGTATGTTAAATGAAGTGATTGCTAGTCTTCATAAGGATTTTTAACTATTTTTTATGTTAAGTATTTTTGTTTTATTTATTATATTTATTTGTTGGTTTTATCTTATCGCTTTATTTCCTTGTAATTTATTAATTTGATCATTTTTTAGCATCATCAATTTATGACAAATTTTAGCTTCCTTTCTTACCTTTTCAAATGAAAATTTAAATTTATAAACGAAAAAATACTAGGGGTTCAAAGTTTTGGATTAAATTTTTTTGTTAACTTTCATATTATTTAGTCCAAATTTTTAGATTCTCATTGTTCAATTATTAAATAATATGTAATTTTGCAACATGGCATGCGGAAGGAAAAAAAATTGATAATTAGACTTATTTGGCATAACAAGTAAATTTTTAAAATTAATGATGGGTGTAAAATGGTATAAATTGATAATTTAGTTTACAAAATGAATTTATATGAGCTTGTAAAAAATTAGAATAAATGGGTTATAAATGGATAATTGGGTTACCCAACTCATTTTTTGACTTACCCATTTATACCCATCTAATTAAATGGATATAAATGGGTTGACTCACTTATACCCATTACCCATTTTATCCAACCCAAACCCGCCCAAATCACCCATTTTGCCACCTCTAATCGAGTCCTTTAAGTGCATGGACTCCTATGATGTGGGTCCACACACAAAATACTCCCCACCATCTGGACAGAGATGTATTATGATTAAGGAATTATTAGTAGAAATATATTAAAAAAAAAGACAGGCGAAGGACACTACGGACGGAGGCCTTTCTCTTGGATTGGAGGACACTACGGACGGAGGGTCGGGTAGGGGCCTTCGGGGTGCAAAACTTCAACATATATCTAATGTTTTATCTCATATTTCTTTAACTATGATAATGGGATTTTATTTCTTTGGTTGATGACACTCCATTTTCTTTATGAACTTTTCCAGAATTTTTCAATCAGATGAAGTGCCATTTCTCTTTGTACATCAATTATGTATGGAGACTGTGAGTCTTGTAAAAACTTTCTCGGGCTAACTTTCTTTAATTTCCATGTCTAGATTGTTTGTATATTGTTCTATATATGGGTAGATTATCTTAAAATAAAAAAGGATCTATGATGAAGCTGTAAAAAAAAAAAAGAATAGGACACTATAAAAAAATATATTATCATTTATTCCTATATATCTAATAGAGGAGATTTATGTCTCTTTTATTTATATCGCATTACTTTCCAGTTCTTTTTTTGGGTAGGAAATAAGAATCATATAATATTAAGAATTTTTATAGGAAATAAGAATTGATATATATCCAAACAAAAAAGGAGCAAGCCACGTAGGAAACTACTTGCAGTCTCGTTAAGCCACGTAGGAAAGAGAAAATATGAAGGGATAAGTATGAGGATACGATTTTATTATATATATATATATGTATGATTCAGTTTTTGACTTGTTAATATTCAGC